TGAGGGGGAGAGAGAGAGACAGGGAATTTCCAATAGAAAATAGCACCTGAGCAAAGGGAGAGTCAGGAGGTTAAAAGGGTTCATTCCGTGGAAATAAGGAGACTTAAGATACATACAAGGCCTCTGATCATAAAGATAGCGCTGCAGATGTAGTAATTCTCCTCTGTACAGATAAGGTGTCAGCCCAGCCCGCATCCTTTATGTCAAATGCAGCTCAGCCACTGTGTGCAGGAGGGAGGCACCAAACATGAGCTGGGTTCTCTCACCTCCTGGAAACAACCAGAAGGCCTCAGGATGGAACCCTGCACTTTCTTCAGATGAGGTTCTCACATAAAGAAAGCCCTAAGGGCTCCCCTAGAGTCTAGTGATCAGACAGATGTCAGAATCAGGTCACAGTGACCACATCCATACCAGGAACTGCACACTGTCCCTGTGTGAGCAAACCTGGGTTTCCTGTCACAGAGACACCCTGAGATGCACCCCAGCTCCACACCTGGGGACGTTAACAAAGAGCGCTATTGAGATACAGTTCACACACCATATAGTCTCCATTGACAGTGCATGTTTCAGTGGGTTTCCTGTATTCCCCGATGTTTGCAAACTTCACAGTAACTTTAAAACATGTTCAGGGCCTCACGATGACATCCCATGCCCACAGGCTATGCTCCCCTCTTCTCCTGCCTCCTCCACCCCTGCCCCAAACAACCACTAATGCACCTTCTGTCTCCATAGATTTCTGGACGGAAATCACACGGTGTGATCTTTGTGATTGGCTGTTCACTTAGCAGGGTGACCCAGGCTCCTGTCGTGCCCTTAGAATTCCCCCAGCCCAGCATCTGTTCACTCGGCCCAAGGACATTGTGGTTCTGAAGACCCCATACCTGTTTCCCTTTACATTTTGTGAAAACCGAGAGAAACAGTAAAGCTTAGGAGGAAGACAGGCCTGGACTTGCATTTTGAGTTTTGTGCTCACTCTCTGCAGGACACCCCCCCCCTCCTCTGTCTCCGGGTCCTCACTTACCACTGTGGACAGTTCCCATCACACAGGATTGTTTGAAAGGATCTGAGAGGTGTTTCCCGCAGTGTGGAATGCGGAGCACAGGCGCTCTGTGAGATGCTGTCAGCTGAGCCAGTGACAGTGCTCTATAGCCCTGGTCACGGCATCACACAGTTGGCTCCCTTTCAGATCACACTAAGCCCTTTTTTTGTTGTTAATCCTAACATCAGGATATTTTTTCCATTGCTTTTTAGAGACAGTGGGAGGGAGGGAGAGAGTGAGACAGAAAAACATCTATGTGAGAGGCACATCGACTGGTTGCCTCCCACATGCACCCCAACTGGAGGGCAGGAAGCTAACCCGCAACCCAGGTACCTGCCTTTGACAGAGAACCGAACTGCAACTCTTTGGTGCTCAGGCTGATGATCTAACCACTGAGCCAACACCCCCCAGGGCTAAGCCCCTTTGTTCCAATCAAGGAGAAAAGATTAGTGTATGGAATCACACCTCTGTCACCGACTGAAAAAGAGAGTGTTCCTCCATGGGCTCAAACTTGACAATGAACAGCAAAGACTAGAATTCTTAACATTTTCCACCTCTCCATTGTATTATTTTTTATAGTTACCTTTTTTGGGTGGGGGGGTAAGTGACTACATTATTAGTTACAGTCTTGCTACATTATTTCAAATAAATACATTTATTTGATTTGAAGAAGAAGAGTTGACACAGGGACAATAAATTATTAATTACATGAAGGTGTTGTAGACATAGAGCACCATCATGACTGTGGAATACACATATTCCCATACTGAGGAACACTTGATACGTAAGCGGCCATAAAGCCTGCAGCATGGGTCCTGACACGTGTGAAGCAATCAATGAATAGAAGGCAGTGTTACTTCTGTTGTATTTGTCACATCTCTCAGTCAGTCAATCCACCCTTGTCTCAAATCCCAGTATATCAATGCTAAGAAACTTACCAAATAAGAGGAGAGAAAGGAATTCAGCCACCATACTGAGCCTGCCGCTGGGTTCAAGGACAGTTTCAGTTTTACAACCACAGGAGGAAGGACAGCTTGATGTGGGTGGTGGCTTCTTTGTTCCAGCCCATTTCTTCCTTCCCCTCATGTGACCCCACAAGTTTGATGTCACAACCACATTCATTACTTTTTATTG